TATAAGATTTATTATAGATTAGTGCTGCTTGTGTGTGAAAGCACAAGTGGTCTCAGCTTCCCCATACTGCCTACAGATGGCCCATTGCTGCAGCAGCTCCTCTGCAGTGCCCCTCTAGCATTGGCACTGCGTGAAGCACCAAGGCAAGACCAGAGAAAAACCCTAGTTACCTGAAGGACACCAGCAGAAGGGTCCTCACCGAGCTTGCCAGCAGGTCCTGTTCTGCTCTCATTTCTACAGATGCAAAAGGGAGTTAATTCAGTCAGGATTTGGAGGGGGAGTCAAGCTAAGCCCCTTTACTCAGACATTAACAAAGAGGCTCAAAGGACAACCGATTTGGTAGGCCTTGGAACTTAAGTATTTTCTGGGTTTGCAGTAAGGTATATGTGCTTCTAATGTACAACAAACACAACTAGATTTTTGTAAATTACAAATGAAAGTAAATAAGGAAGCAGTTCTGATACCATTTAAATAAAACACATAAATTGTGATCATTCTTGGAAAATAAGGCACTATTGCCTTATTTGAAAGCACCAGGATATTTAAAAAATAGAACCTCAAAATTACGGCAACAGACTAGTTAATGGAATATAACTGTCACTCACTGCCACAGAACAGAAATGACAAACTATACCTAAGGTGATATTAAATTAAAACCCTTCAGCTTGGCAGCCAAATAATTCCTGCACACCAACTGCACATCTGCTGACATAAAGGTCATGGAAGCACAGCACTACTTAGTGGTTAACGGAACATGGTGAGCCCAGTATCCTCCTCAAGCTGTGGCACAACAGCAAGGCCTTGTTTAAAAAAAAAAGAAAAAAAAAAAACCAGAAAAAAAACATTAAAAATTATTTCTATTGTTTTTACTAGAAACTGAATGCAGGGAGGAGTTAGCCTGGGACAGAACTGTGCTGCTGCCTCGGCCCCTCCCACTATAAATTCCCCATATCTCAGCAAAGCACAAACAACTCCTCAGGGGAGAAGCTCTCTCCCATTTTGTGTAAACCTATCTTCACCAGATGAACTCACACTTCACAGAATAATCTACAGAGAAACCTACAAAAGCTGGAACAGAAGTACTGGATTACCCTGACACTGAACACTCTTACAAAAGAAGTATCTCCTCATCAGCTAAGTACAGTTTCAGAAGCCAGGTTCAGTGATGGCCCCAGATCCAAGGGAAAACCCCAGCCAGGACCATGGGGAAGGTCCACATGCAGCTTCCACCCACTTGGCCACCTCCAGGCACAGAAGGGTCCAGACTGAAGCCCCGGGTCCAGCCGTACTCCAACTCCAGGAACACTCAAACCATTTTACAGCCATCTCCCAAAACTTAATCACGGCCAACACAGTGATGATCTAAGATTCAGCAAATCCATAGGTCATTGTAACAGTGATGATGGGTACCAAACAGAGCTGCCAGTCCTCTGCTTGAGAAGAAGCATGAAGGTTAGGCTACCACAGACTGTCAGGAAGTAGCAGCTCACTGTCAGGTGAAGGAGTCCATGCAGAAGTGGGGCTTAGGGATCCCCACAAATGCTATTATTACCCTCATGCATCTCTTGCTTAATTTTCTGACAAAATTTTAAATGGCTCTTGTTTAACCATCCATTTAAACAAGAAGGTCTAGAGAAGCAATGGAAAAGGCCCACCCATGTATTTAACTTTGTACATACCAAAACCACAGCAAAAGTGCATTAACTCCTACATACATAACTCTCCAGAAATCCACCGACCTCTCTTTTGGAGGTCCTTCTCAGAAGACAAGTGTCCAAAGGCAATCATAGTTACTCCTGATGTATTCCAAAAGTGATCTAAAAATCAAATCTGTGTTCAGTTTAGCCTTCAGCTGAAAAGATATCACGTTATCTCAGCAATTATACCTCACCCCTAAATCAGGGTATGTCCCATGCTGCATTGGGCCAATTCTCCTGTCTGCCTCAAAGACAGTTCTTTCTATTTTCTGCCTGTATGTTAAGCAATTAAAATGCTTTATCTTCAAGAAGATATTAATCTTAATATTGTCCTAATTTGTTTCGTCTTTTTCTGCCTCTCATGCAGAAATAAGTCTTGACAATAGTCACTGATAAGGACAGTAACCAGCAAGCTCCATAATAAGCCATCATATACACTATTTTAGTTTGTCAAAACAATTAGTGTTCATTTCGGCTTTATTCAGTTAAATCTGTAGTGACTGATTAGTTTAAATTATGTATTAGGCTGCCCAGCTGTACTTGTTTATTCATGCATGGACTTGAAGAATTTTCACTTTCTCAGTACAAAAAGAAACAACCAAAATGTCCCCTGTACTCTAAAATATAAAGACACTTTCTTCTCAGCCCCATTTCTGCTCCATAGTTTTGAAGCCACTTTCTTCTTACGCTGCTTACTTCAATTAACCTATTACTGCATCCACAGTTATCGGCAGCCGCATTTGCCGCAGCAGGAAGCACGTACTGTTACTTTTACCCCTTGCAATTAACTCCTGAGCAAAGCAGTATCGGAGTTAAACCAAATGAGGTTGATTTTAAAAGGATCAAAAATTGCATTATAGGCTGCATTTAAACTCCTGCCTTGCTTGAAGAGGAACTGCTCGCAGGAGTGCTTACAGTTAAGCCTCACACTCCTCTCTTTCAAGAACAAAAGTTTATGAATCAACAGAGCTGAGCTGGTTTCCCGTTTTTGCTCATGTTTATAAGCAGAGAGTCCTTGCTAGAATGCCCGGGAGAAGGCAATGCATGCCGGGGGGGAGGGGGGGGGGGGGGGGGATGATACACTTGTATGCAGGGAGAGAGATGACACAGATTTAGACAAAGGAAAGCAAAACCTGCGGTGGCCATGTACACCATCAGTTATGTTTCTCCACTACGCGGTGGATGAGCAGAATGGAAATCTGGCTGTCAAAGCTGTTTCCCGGTGATGAAGAAAAGAATGTGAATTGCACACTCCTTCCCCAGAGCTGCCTCCATCAGGCCAGGTTCAAGAACCTGGTAATGGAAGGTTTTGCCAATATTTACAAATCACAGAAAGATATTCTGGCCGCTCTGACATGGTGAGTGCGGTCATTCAGTGACAGACCGACAGGATGAATGGTGGCAGGGCTCACAATAACATGAACAGCCAGAGTCTGAATCCTCCAGAAGAGCTGGGGAACAAGGCAGAACTTGTATTCATTAGCTGGAATGTCAGTTAATATCCCAAGTTAATATCCCAACCCTAAAAGGGTTACCCACGTGGCTCTTGGGCATGTACAGCACGAAGTATGCTACAGAAACATCTTTGTAGGGCACAGAGGTGTGAGTGGAGAGAGCTGGCTGGCAAAAGGCAATCTCTCAGACCCAGGCTCAAGTACAATGCACCTGACAGGTAACAGATCTGCTTTCAAATTGGTTGCACACAACAAAGATTGCACTGATCTGCGTTAGGTCTGTTACAGAAGGGCTTTTGCAGTTTTGGTGGCTGCTGTGCTGGGCACATGGGTAAGGAGGGGGAGGGCCCCACATGCAACCTGCCCACACACATAGGGTGACAGCAACTGCTCCCATGGGCTCTGAGCACAGCAGGACAGGTACCCAGCTACTCTTGTTGCTCCCTTAATTCAGCAGATAACGTAATAAGTGTTCTGGTGAAAAGACTTGAATTTTGCTGAATTAAGGGCTTTAGAGCAAGTGGTTTTATTACTTTATAATTAGCATAATTTCCCTCATAGGGATTCTTTCAATTAAATAATTAGCAGTAATGTTACCCAAAGGTGTTTAATAAATTTCTTACGGTACTGCCCCCGTTAACGAAAGCTGAAAAGGCTCGGTTTCACGCCGCCCGAACGCTCCCTGCTCTCGCCAACCCACGGGATACCAGAGGAGGCTGTCGCCCTTTACGCCGGGCCAGACCGCGCGCCCCGGCGGGGCGGGCACAGCGCGGCCACCTCGCTGCCACCTCGCTGCCCTGCGCACCCCGACGGCGCAGCTGAGGAGCAGCGGCGGGGGAGAAGCCCCGACAGTGCCCTGCTCCGCGCACCCCCCGGCCGCCCCTCGCCAGCACCCGCGGGGGTAGCACCTCGGGCCGGCACCGGCCGCCCCGCGGCCCCACGCACCGCTCGCGGCTCGCCAGCGCCACCCGTCGGGGATCGGGGCGGCGGCGGAGCGGGGCCGCTGCGGCGGGGAGGGGCACCGGCACTGCCGCGGGGCTGCCCGCAGGAGGGCTGGCCCCGGCGTGCCCGGGCCAAGAGCCGCCGGAACGGGGAAAGTTGCTGTTTTTTTATCTTTCTTTTCTATTTTAATTGGCGCTGGCGAGACATAACGCGCGGCCGGGCCCGGGAGCCCCCGAGCCGGGGAGGAGGGGGGGAAAGGAAATCCCCATTTACCTCCCGGGGATCTCGCCTCAAAGGCAAATTTTCACTTTGTAAGTCGCTGGTTAAACAAGGGCGTTTCCATTTGTTAATTGATGTAATTACGCCGTAACAATAATGGGCAGGCCGGGATGCAAGTAGGCATCCTTTCACCCATCACCTCCGCACCGACTCGCCGCGGCCCCGCCCGCCCCATCTTCCGGTGGACCGGTTCGGATCTAGGCGAGGAATGGACTCCTCGCTCCTCACTCGTTAGGGACGGAGGCTGCGGGCTTTCCCCGGCACGCTCCCGGCCACAGCCGCTGCCCGTGCAGCCGGTGCAAGCTGTGCGGGCCGAGGTCCGACCCCGCTCCCGCGGCCATGGGTGGTCGGGAAGAGCTGCAGGGAAGCCGGAGGGGAGCACGGCCAGCCGGATCCACCGTAAAAGCAGAGCCCGGCCCAGCAGGTGTGAGCCGGAGCAGCGCCTGCCCGAGCGCTGAGCCCGGGGAGTGCCCCGCACGGCCGCGGCCTCCGCTACTCCTGCCTGCAGCAGAAGAGGCCACAGCGGGAGGAGGAGGGGACGCGATCTCCCCCCTTCAGTATCATTTATTTCCTCTCAAAGAAATGTGAACTGTGTTTAAAACAGAGAAGAGGCCCCCCAGCCCCTGCCAGCGCCGTGCCCCGCAGCGCAGCGCCCCAACACCACGGAACAAGTGTTGCGGGTGCTGCCCGCTCCTGCCCGGCGCTGCCTGCTCTGCCGGCACGGCCGTGACGTCACCCTGCTCCTCGCCCACCGAGGAACGCTAAAGATCTATAGAGCAGAAAATAATACAACAAGCAAGCTCCGTATCTTGCAAGTCCTACGTGATCCCCCCCCCCCCCCCCTTGGAAAAAGCCCCTTTGCGCTTAAACTCTCTATACATGTGGAGTGGCTTTTCAAAGTCCCTCTATACAAACATATTTATTACGAGCGATGGGGAGCGGGGGGTAGCCTATTTTTTTAACCCAGGCACCCCCCTCCCTCGCAGATGTCTGGCAGCGCTTCTTAAGTGCAATCATCTATAATTGAGGGGGGGGGGGGGGAAGCCATACGTGGAAATGTGTGTGTGAGAAGGTGCATCCTGAAGCGGGGTTTAGTTACAATCGATCTTGGGGGGAAAATATTGCCTATGGTCCAAAAATAAGGAGCGACTATGTCCTTCTCCCAGTTCGGATACCCCTACAGCACCACTTCACAGGTAAGGCGAGTGAGCAGCACTCACTTTTGTTTAGATTCCGCTGCTGCTGTCCAGATGTCTTGTTCCCCCTCCCTTTTATTCTTCCCTTTCCCTTACTTAGAGTCTTTTTTTAAAAGGGCACATCTGGAGCCTTTTTAAAAAAAATGTGCGTGTGTTTATGTCTCGTTTGTGTTGTGTTAGGCTTAAACAACTCGCCGTGTGCACAGCAAAGGCGTTTAGGAAACCTGTGCTTCCCCCTCCCCCTCCCTCCACCGTTCACTTTTAAGTGCAACAAACAAATAACATCAGTCCCAGCTGCTAGCGGCCGCGGAGGGTGCGCGGGCAGCAGGACCGCCGCTTCGCGGGGTCTGCCCGCCGGATCCGCTCTGTGCCGTCCCCTCTGCCCTTCCTCCCCGACCGGTCCTTTCCCCGAGTTTTGTTGGGAGTTTTTTTTCTCCCCCGTACAAATTTCCGAAGGATACCCCCTGCACATCCCCACCCAGGCCCCCTGCGTTAACCAAGTCGTCGCTATAGGTACCTCGAGTCACCATTTATTTGGGTAGAATTATTTATACACCGCAATCACTGCAAGATACGTCTACCGCGCTTGGGAAGTTAGCTGTCCCCTTGAACTTACTGAAATCAAATGTCTTCGATTGCGTTACCTGGCATTTACTGCTTTGTCTATTAAGTTAACTGTAATTGCAACGTCTTGGCTTTAAATCAACGGGAATGGACCGAGCGGGAAGTGCAAGAAGGAGCCGCACGAATCTTTTGCCATTCTCGAGAGCAGTCATTTCCTTCAAGTTTTGTCTGCTTTATTAATCGTGTCCCCTTCCAAGTGCTCCCGCTTCCCATTCCGTTTATTTCCCAGTTTCTATAATTAGTTGCCTCAGCTCTGATTTCCTACCCCCTTTGTCACCCCCTCCGCACACACACAGACGCACACGCTCCTCGAGTCCCCGCTATGGGGCTGCCTCGACAGTCACTCGGCATCGTCCCACTCTCTGCTCTGCTTCCCGCAGTTCTTCGTGTCCGGCAACCCCACCATGACCTGCTGCGAGGCTGCGCCCCGCTCCGCGCCGGATGCCTCCCCGGCGCCGGCCTCCGCCTCCCTCTGCTGCGCCTCGTACGAGAGCCGGCTGCTGCCGCCGGGCCGCGCCGAGCTCAGTGCGGCGCTGGGCATGTACGGTGCCCCTATCGCCGCCGGCCAGGGCTACGGCAGCTACCTGCCCTACGGCACCGAGCCCGCCGCGCTCTACTCCGCGCTGGTGAGTGCCCGCCCGCCGTAGATGGGGATGGGGATGAGAGCAAGAAGCGGCAAACTTCGCGGTCGGCAGTCGATGGAGGGCCGGGGGCGGCCGAAGGGCACGGGTTAAAGGGACTTGGCTGCCGCGGTGACTCGGGGAGACAGGGGGCCGGGGCTCCCCTCCTGCTCGACGCCGAACGCTGCCGCTTCCCTTGCAGAACCCCCAGTATGAAATCAAGGACGGCGCCGGCACGTTGCACTCGGGAATCGCGCAGTCCGCTGCCTACTACTCTTATGATCATTCCTTCGGGCAGTACCAGTACGACAGGTAAAGCCCCTTTGATCAGCGCCCGACAGCGTTAGCATCCCCCTGCGAGGCACAGACCGACATCAAGCGGTACCGGAGGGGGAGGAGGGAACTCCGACCTGACAAACTCGAGGCGCTCCGGGAGCACCAGTCGATTAAAATCACACCTCGGAGCTGTGGCGGGAGGGCAGGGCCACACCGGCCTGAGGAGGGTACGGGCCGGGTCCAGGGGCTCATGGCGCGCTCTGCTGGCTTCCCCTTCCTAACCCTCTCCCTGCAGGTATGGGACAGTGGATTTCAGTGGCTCGGCCAGACGCAAAAACGCAACGCGGGAGACGACGAGCACCCTCAAGACCTGGCTGTACGAGCACCGGAAAAATCCCTACCCCACCAAAGGAGAGAAAATCATGCTGGCCATTATCACCAAAATGACCCTGACCCAAGTGTCCACTTGGTTTGCTAACGCCAGAAGGAGGCTCAAGAAAGAAAACAAAATGACCTGGTCTCCCAAGAACAAAGCGGGGGAAGAAAAGAAAGAACCAACCCCGCGGGAAGAGGAGTACAGCGCGGAGGACGAAGGCAGAGGTAGGCGGGAGAGGCCGGACGGGCGCCTCGAGGTACCTCGAAGTGGCGGCCCATCTCGAGGCCCCCCAGCTTCCCGCACTAACGCGATAGCTCGCCTCCTCCCCACTATGTGTCCGAGCAGAGCAGAAGAACTGCAAAGAGGACAAGGAGCTGCAGTTCAGCGACCTGGAGGAGGCGGAGGAGGAGGAAGAGGAGGAGGCGGGGAAGCCGGAGAAGGGCCGGGCTAGCTCCCTGCAGGAAGCCCCCAGCATCGCTGCGGCTCTTCCCGAGGCTCTGCGGAGCGACTGCAGCCTGCCCGGGTCCTTCCGCGCCTTTCCCTGCGCAAAGGCCCCCTCCGCAGACTTCGCACCCCCCGCCCTGTCCAGTCCGCCACTGCCCTACGTATCCGCGGAGAAGTCGCGCATCTGGTCGCTGGCGCGCACCGCCGGGGCCAGCGCTGCGCGCAGGGGCAGCCCCGAGGGCGGCGGCGCGGCGGGCGAGCAGCCCCTGCCCGCCAAGGCTTTCCGGAGCTCAGCTTTCAACCTGCAGCCGCTCCCGCAGAGCTGCGCGTCCCATCGCGGCCTGGGGGAGTCATGCCAGTACGCGGCGGCGGGCGAAGGTACCCGCGGTGGCGGGGACGGGCGGGACCGTGGGCCGGGCCGGGACACAGGGCGCGGCGTGAGCCCGCCTTCGGCTGACAACCTCCCTATAACCGCCTCCGGCCCGGAGTGGCCGCGGCGTTAAGCCGGGCCCAGGTGTCAGGCGGGCGCAGATCCGTGTCCCCCCGGCGGTGCAGACGCCAAGGCCTCGCCGCTGCAGGCGAGTAGGCAGGGGAGGGCGGCTGGGCCGGGCCGGGCACACCGCGAGCCGCTTGTATCTGTGCAGGCTTCGGGCGGGGGGCCAAGTGCAGCCCGGGAGGCTCCGAGCTGGGCGTGCCGTGCCTGGACAACAGGCTCCGGACGGCGTTCCGGCCAGTGCTGCGGTGGTGAGGTAGGTGACGGGCCGGCTGCTGGGCTGACCCCGCACCAAGCGCCAGCTCGTCCGCAAAGCACTGGGGGCACCGTTCTGCCCTACTCCCGGAGCCCTTGATTCCGGGGAGGGCCGGCCGGACCGCCGGGGAAACGCTCATAACCACTTCTCTCTCCCGCAGGGCGCAGGGCCGCCTGCCCTTTCCTGAGCGGTGGTGACGGGGTTTTGGCTGCAGCGAGACTCTCGGCTTGACACAACGAAAGCAAACTCTCCCTGGCCCGGGGGCGACCTCTCCGGCCACAGGCCCGTTGCTCTGCCATCGCCGGGACAAGGACCTGCTGCTCACCAGGGGGCGAGGGGCGGCGGGCGGAGCGGTTCCCCGCGGGACCGACCCCCCGCCGCCCGTTGGTTCAGCACCCCTCAGAAACACCTCTGCCACAACAACAGCAACAAAAATCCTTGTTCCCCATGTCGTTTGCTTCTCCTCCCTCTTTCCCCGCTCAGGGTGCAGTTGTCCGCGGCCACTCCGCGCCATCCCGTGGAGGGAGGAGCGGCGCAGGTCACGCCGAGCGGTTTCTTTTCCCGTGGCTGTAATAGCGCTGGAAGTATTTTCAGAGTCCTCAATAAACACGGGTGAACTGACCGCCGTGAAGTCTCCTTGTGAACCCGGGAGTGCTTTAGCTAGGAGGGGCCCCGGGCACCGGAGCAGGACGTTGCTAGTGGGTCAGCGCTGTCGGTCAGTCAAAAGAGCAGTGATGCGCTTTACAGGACAGACGGGAAAGGGAAACGGTATCTCTGCATTATTTCTGTTTAATTAAAAGTGTCATCAAACACTTTGTGTTCAGACTAATAAACCAAGCAGGGATGAGGAAAGTGTACCTGTCTCTAGAAGCAGTGGCAATAATCTGTGGTAATTGAGGTCATCTATGTATCAACCCGATACCTGCTATTTCCGAGTTCACCAGGGTCAACATTTACATTAAGTCACTTGTGGTCAATAGAGTCCAATGAATTCTGCCTTAATAAATCAGGGAAATCAATCTTGAATATTGAGAAGACTTCTGTATGTTTACCAAAGGCTACCAAGACAAGTGGGGCTGGGCGTCCTCTCGGTTTGCGACCGGAGAAGCAGCAGGTCAACGTTGGGAGAGGTGGCAGGGGCCGCCCGGGGCTGTGGAGATGAACGGAGCAGCCACGGGCTAGGCGGACCTAAGGCGGCGAACTACGGGGTTTTGCAGGAGCCAGGGCAGGAAAAGGTCCCGCCGGGAGCGGGACAGGGGTAGGGAGCAGCACAGGTCCGGCCGGGATCAGGGCCGGGAGCGCCGCCATAGCCGCCGGCCTCGGGGCTTTCCCTCGGCCAAAACACACCTGGGCAACCGGCGGTTTAGGAGCCGCAGTGTTGCAGTGACCCGCAGCTTAGAGTAAGGAAAATTAAGCTGAGAAAACTATTTCAAGTCGGATTTGAAGGATTAAGGCTTGTAATAAAGAGCATTAGGCCCTTTCGAAGGGTTCCTGCAAGGAGACCTCTTCGCCCCTCCTATACCACCGGAGGGGACGGGTATCATATGCCCTGGGAACAACGCGCCGGTTTCCCACGCGTGTCCGCAGCGACAGGGCCGTGACCCGCTCCCCGCCGTGTCCCGGCTGCCTCTGCCCAGGCCGCGGGGGAGCGAGCCGGGTCCCGCTGACCCGCCGGCCAGGGGCTTCAGAAGAGGCTCCCCCGAGAGGCAGCGCGGCAGCGGACTCTGCGCTGCTCACGGGATATGAAACCGTTCCGGCCCGGGGGCAGAAACTCCCCGAGCTGCCGGCCCTGCCCCGGCCCTGCCCGGCCGCTGCGACCCCAGGAGTGGTTAAGTAGCCGGGTGCGGGCTTTGGGGTCTTCTGAAGGCAGGCACGGAGGTAACCTCCGGGATTCTTAAGACTTCTTTTAGTCCCCTTTTATTAAAGGTCAAACGAGAGAGATGGGAGATTATCCCGCCTGCCCAGGACTACCCTGCAATCTGGCACGCCAGCAAGATATGTATCGCAAATCTCTCCAAATATAATCTCCAGGAATCATATTCCGAATACTGTTTTGATTAAAACACAGAAGATTGATGGAGAAGTAATACCGGGAGCGAACCCTGTGAGCGCCCACACACTAAACTAACGGGTTCGCCTGTGTCTGTGCAGGACAAATTCAGCGTCTCTAACGCCACGGTAAACATACTTTAACCATCTTCTGGCCGGGCTCTGCTCCGAGCTGGGCTTTCCAATGCCGATGAGCTCTGTGGGTTGAGCTCGGGCTGTCCGCCGGGCGCTGAGCCACCGTCTGGCGGAGAACTCGCGCCGGCTCTCGGGACGGCGCAGGGAAATAGCCCGGAGGGGGTGGGGAAGCGCCGGCGGCCAGAGCGAGCTCCCCGCAGACCTCGCGCTCAGCCCGGCCCTGGCGAGGCACAGCCAGAGGCGCAAGGTGGCAGATCCTGGAGCTAGGAAACGGCCGGAGAGCAGCATTCACCTCACCGCCCCATTCCGTCATCAAGGGCCGGGGCTACCACTTTCCAGCTTCCCCGCATCGCCCCCAATTAGCCCCGCAGCGGCGGGGGCCGGGGCGGCGATGGTGAGAAGTTTCTAAGCAGGAGCTGCCGTGCCCGTGGCCCGCTCCGGAGTGGCGGGGCCCCGCACACACACCCCACTGCGCCCGCTCAAAAGCAGCGCGGCCGCGGGGCCGCCGCCGCGCTCCCTAATGAACTTTTTTCAGAGGCAATTACGGACTCGGCGGGGGCAAGAGGCCGCGATGAAAAGGCGGCTTTGTGCGGCCGAGACGGCGCGGCTCCCAGGGCACCCGGCCCTTCCTGCGGCCCCGCGGTGACCCCCCGCGCGGCCCTGCTCCCCGCGGGGGCAGCGGCCCCGGCGCCCGGCCCCCGGTCAGCGTAGAGACGGGCTGGTGCTGGCAACGAGCGTCGTGGAGCCCGGTTTATCAGCCGGATTCACGAAGCGGCCCCGGCACCGGAAGGCAGAGGTTACAGGGATTCTCCCCTCCCCCACCCTGCCGGAGGGGTTTCTGCCCCGCTTCCGTCCCCGGATGAGCTCCTGTGGCTGGGTCCTGCTTTACTGTTGATGCACTCAGTAAACGGACCACCGAGCTGGCTAAACCTGATTAAATACACGCCGGAGACACGTGAAATGGGTGGGCTTCGGGTGCCTTCAGTAGCAGCTGGGCGGAGGAGTGGAAGCGCTGGGCAATAACCATCTTTCAATTCCTGCTACACCATCCCGCCACCGGTTCTGTCCTCCTCCACCCCTGGTCCTCGGTCACCCGCTCCACCCTCCTCCACCCTCGGTCAGCACTTCTCTCCTTCCCAGTCCCCCGAGCGGCACAAAACACGCTGGTTTTCCCCTGGGGAGCGTGGGAACCGTTCGGACTCATGATGAGGTCTGGACGACACAAGGAACCAACTAGATCGGTGCTTCCCACCCTTGTGGAGCACAACCCTCCTTTCACGAGCACAGCAGAGCAGACACCTCACGTTATTCCCGCAGCAGCAGCACATGAGAAGAGTGGCCTGACTCTGAAAATGTCTAGGGCCCCATGTCCCTAGCTGGCTGCTCCTCTAGTGTCTTGCAAGCAAATGTTCTGGCCCCTACACACAGGTTTCCCATCCCACATTAAAGGGATGATTTTTACTGGCTTTGCAGCAGTAACCCGCTTGGAGATCCTTCTTCAAAGGTGGCTACAGCAGAAACTTTAGCATTATGGGTCTATCGAGGTTACGGAGAAATGGATTGGAGCAAGTAATTCAAAATCATCTCAAAAACTGCCCAAGCAGCTGTCTGGCCAGGTGTCATTTCAGGATCAAAGCATCTGTTAGGGGAGAATAATTTTTGCCATTGTATTGCTTTTTTTTTTTTTACCTACTGTTCATCTGAAAATAAATTACAGGCTAGAGCAGGTGGATACCATTCTGGAATGATTTAATGATTTATTTAATCTGGATTCTGTTTCAATCTACTTAGCAGGATGAATACTTTTTTTTTAGCCTGAATCCAAAAGCTGTGCTTTTCATCTCAAGAAGAGAAAATACTCTAATACACTGCTCTGCTGCTGTCAAGGTGTTCTCACTGCCGTTAGTAACCCAGTGGTACTGCTTGCCCAGCTGAAGAGCCTGAGGAGGAAACCTCAAGAAAACAGAGCAGGGGATTTCCATTTTCTCTTCTTCCTTGCTGTCTTCCTAGTGCTTTAGATGTTCTCTTCCCTTCCTGGGACAGTGCCTGGGTAGTACAGTAACTGACTAGCATTCAGTCCCTCCCCTTTAAATCTCGGTATGTGCAGGTTTAAGAACTCAGACCACTGCTCTCTGGCTTTCCCTCTTGTTAGGACAGCCTTATGTACCCCTGACTGGGAGAGCAAGCAGGGCCGTGGAACCTGAGCAGAGTCACAGACTTTGGCTGCAGACACCTATGGATCTACTGACAAGAAATGAGGCCAGGAGCAATTCCAGGGACATTCACCAAGGCCAGCACCCCATTCCTCCGTGTGCACACCCTAACAGAAGACTGTCCTTCTTGAGCAGAGCAGACACAGTTTTGCTAAAGAGGAGTTATCAAAATCATTGGCCACTTACTCAGATGTGACTTTCTGAGGTTTGGTTTCAGCTGGAATGAGAGATTTTATGGGAGAGATACTCTCAGGACCTGTAACATGCTGAAGTTCATGAGACAACTCCCGACACAGCTGGGTTTGGTGTGCTGGTTACACTGGGGTGGTACCACAGACACAGACAGAATGCTTTTAGACACGGAGGAAGGTTACAGCATATCAGAGGGGCTGTGGTTGCCACTGCCAGGATGTTTCCAACTCACATACCTGTGCTTTTTAGCTTAATGGACTAAATTAAGGTAAACAGGCCTTAAACTTGCTTTACATCCATCAGGCTCAGTATGTGAACAGCAGAAACAGACTTTTGTGGGGTTTGTTTTTTAACTCGTCACAGCTCTAAGCGTGAGTTTGTTACTGAACAAGACTTGAGTTTATGCCAAAGCACCACCTCATTCATGGAGAGGTACATGTGGAAGAATTCCTGCGTTACCAGACAAGGCATCCGGGTTGGTGAACCTGACATCCAGACTGCCTGGGGTGGCAAAGAAGGGACTCAGTGCCATCAGGCTGCTCAGGTTTCCTCTACACAGACCACATGAGGTAATGGGTTAGGTGCACAAG